AACGTTTATAACCTGCGGTAGGTGTGTCGTTCGATAATATTTTAGGTGAAGTTCTCGGTGTTAATGTAATCCTACGGGAAAGCAATGTTTGAAAATGAAATTCCCCCTCAGAATCCATGGGACCGATCTCCGAAGACAGTGGATTTTCCAGATCAACTGGTCTGCCACCTGGGCTAATAAATCCCTTTGTTTTCGACATTGCATGTTTTAAATATATAAATGAATTTGAATGCACATTGATAAAGCTTGCTTATAAATGTGCGTCTGTCTTGCCGCAATACTACCCCCATTCCTCCCACACAAAGCAAATAAAAAAAAAATTTCAATTCTTCGAAAATATAAAACATTAAAAAAAAAATTGTTTTGTAACTTTTGATTTCCGATTGCAAAATTTCAGAAAAAAAGTTTATCTTGGTGGCCTAATAGACATTTATGGCATTATTATGGGTAATAAGCAAATTTCATAAATATTTCAATAGATTTAATAAGTTCGGCAACTATCTCTTATATACATAAGTAAATAGTAAAGAGCTTTAAGTCTAGCACAAGCCTCCTCCGGTTATATTGAGAAACATTAAGAACTACTCCCACATAGTTAAGATATTAAAAGAAGAAAGAATAAACGTTAGGGTCAATATGATGAATAATGACCAATTAAAAATAAATATGGAAAATGAAAATTAATACAGATTACTAACAAAAGCTATAAATAAGGCTAGACTGGAGTGGCACACGTATGAGAATAAACTAACAAGGCCAGTTAAAGTTATGACCAGAAATCTCCATCCATCGTGTGAGCCAGAGGATATAAAAAAAGAGCTTATTAACAAAGGCTTTAAATGTCTAGATGTTGTAAATAAAATTAAAAGGAAGAAGGAAAATGGAAAATATATTTCAGTAAAACTTCCGCTCTTTATGTTATCTTTTGACCATTCGGAAGAGATAACCAAGATCTATAAAATAGAATGCTTACAGCACATGAGAGTAAAAATTGAAGCTCTTAGAAGCAGCAAATCCATTCCTCAATGCAAGAGATGCCAGAGATTTAGACACACACAAAAGTTTTGCTAAAGAGAGACTAGATGTGTCAAATGTGCTGGTAATCATATGACAGAGGAGTGCAACAAGAAGATAATTTTCAGCCCAATTGTGCGAACTGCAATGAGGCACACCGTGCTAGCTATCGAGGCTGTTTGGTTGCAAAAGAATTGCAAAAAAGAAGATTGAAAAAGAATAAGACCAAACAAAACCAAGTTAAATTTAATGAACAAAGAACTCCAAAAATAGACAGAATGACGGCACCTAGTAAGGTGTTAAAGGGAGTATCTTATTCACAACCGCTTCAAAGCAAAACCCTGCAAAAAAGAAAATGAAGGAACCTGAGAACAAAACCCCACAAATAAAAAGAACTGACGCAGACATTATGCAAATGATGCATAGTATGTTGATTAGAATTGACGAGATCTCTAAAAGATTATTAAAAATAGAAAATGCATACACTGAGATGTATACGGGGACACCAAGGAAGTTAAGAAAAGATGTATGTAAATGAGGTACATATAGTAACTTGGAATGCTAATAGTGTTCTTAATAAAAAACAAGAATTGGAGGTCTTTCTCAAAATCCATAACATATTTGTATACATATTTAGAGAAATATACATATTTGTTTGCTGTCGGAGGCTCATCTGACATATTATACGAGCCTTAAAATAAAGGGCTATGATTGCTATAAAGCGGTACATCCCAGCAATCAGCCAAGAGGAGGTAGTGCAATACTAATAAAGTATAGAACATAATGAAGAATTCAAGATAGAAACGGCTGAAATTCAGCTTATTTCGATAAAAATTGAATAGACTAAACAGGACTTTAGTGTTGGTGCTGTATACTGTCCACCAAATTGCAGCATTAAGAAAAATACTTTTAAAGATCTCCTGTACAAGCATGGACACAGATATCTAATAGGAGGTGACTATAATGCCAAGCATACAGATTGGGGTTCTAGAATCACCTCAACTAGAGGAAGAGAGCTAAGAAAAGCTATTAAAGAGTTAGGTGGTTGCTATCACTCATACTGGCACTCCTACTGACACTAACAAGATTCCTGATGTTATTGACTTTTTTATAACCAAAAAGATATTAGAAAACTTTCTAAGCCTTGAACATAACTATAATTTTAATTCGGATCACTCTGATGTCATATTAAAACTAAGTGAAAAAATAACTAAAACATTATTTAGGCTCAGTTTAACAAATAGCACTACAGATTGGGTGAGCTTTAGTTACGAAATAATAAACAATATTGACGTAAATATTAAAATACAATCAAGAGAGCAATTAGATGTTGAGTTAGAAGGTTTTATTAAAATCATATAAAGACCTGCATGGAACAATACAAAAATGTCAAAGTACAAACCGACAGCAAATAGTTATCCTCGAGAAATAACTGATTTAGTAGGTGAAAAGAGAAGGGCCAGACGTAGATGGCTACGTTCGCGTCACCCTGATGATAAAACTGTTTTAAACAGACTTTCCCAGGTGCTTAAAAGAAAAATCCAAGAATTTAAATCGGCAACATACGAAAATTATATAAAGAACTTGTCAGCTACGAGGGAAACGAATTATTCCTTATGGAAGGCGGCAAGGAGCAAAAAGAGACCGATTAGGCACGCTCCGCCACTGATGAGAGCAAATGACAGTTAGACGAGGAGCAATATAGAGAAGGCCGAATTGTTTGCTGATCACTTGGAAAACATATTCACGCCAAACGGAATAACCTCAGATGTGGGTTTGGTAGAATCTATCGCAAATGAAGCAGACAGCATAGCTCCACTTACTCAATTAGAAATTGTGGAAGAGGTAAGATCCCTGAAGTCGAAAAAATCGACAGGTTTTGATCTTATTACTGCGGAAGTACTGAGAGAGCTACCAGACGAAGCATTGGAACATCTAACGAAAATCATGAATGCAGCTATGGATTTTGGGTATGTTCCTTGCGCTTGGAAAGTCGCGGAGGTAATTATGGTGCTGAGACCCGGGAAATCCTTTTGGGAAAGAAAGTCTTACAGACCCATCTCACTGTTACCAATGATGTCTAAGCTTTTTGCAAAACTGCTATTAAGGAGATTGAAGCCACTAATAGAAAATAGGGGCCTCATACCGAACCATCAATTTGGTTTTAGAAGAAACCATTCTACAATAGACCAGGTTAATAGAATAATTAATATTATAGAAAAAAGCTTGGAAAATAAGGAAATCTGCTCTTCTATGTTTCTAGACGTAGAACAGGCATTCGACAAGGTGTGGCATAGGGGCCTAATACTTAAGTTAGGGCAAATGTTACCATCGTCATTTGTGAAAATTTTGGAATCTTACTTAGCTGATAGATTATTTAGAATTAAACAAGATGCTGAATACTCCACGCTAAAAGAAATAAAGGCAGGTGTGCCTCAAGGCAGTATATTGGACCCAACGTTGTAGCTGCTTTACACGAGTCATTTGCCACAAATAGAAAATGTTACGATAGCCACTTTTGCTGACGATACTGCAATATTGGCAGTAGGAGCGAACATTGACAATTCGACAAAAAAATTACAGGAGGCAATTAACAAAATAAGCCAGTGGACTAGAGATTGGAGGGTGAAGTTGAATGAAGCAAAATCGGTTCACATAAATTTCACCAATCGGAAAATAGTGAATCCACCACAAATTAACGTAAATGAAACGAATGTAGCAATCCATAACTCGGCACAATACCTAGGAATGACTTTAGATGTCAAGCTAAGGTGGAAAGAGCATATAAAGAAGAAACACATAGAATTAGAAAATAAATATAGAGAAAATTATTGGCTCCTAGGTCGTAAGTCCAATTTGGCAATTGATAATAAGATATTAATTTATAACCAAATCATTAAACCAATATGGCGATATGGCATTCAGCTGTGGGGTTGTTCCAAGAAGACTCACATTAACAAAATTAAAACCTTCCAGAATAAGGTTCTACGGGGCATGGTAAACGCGCCATGGTATACACGTAACAGTGATATCCACAGGGACTTAGGAATTCCTTTGATTGTGGATGAAATTAGGAGTTGTGCTACAAAGCATAGGGCTCGTCTAGAACAGCATGTAAATATGGAAGCAGCTCGAACGACTTAAACGAACTAGACCATTCGATTTAACACGAAATACCAATTTCCTTATGAAAGGTATTTAATTCCTGCACGGAAAAACCAAGTTAGCGCGGAGGTAATAGTTGGTCTGTAGGACCAGTTTTATCCGTTCAGAATTTAGGTGATTTTTTAGGGTAGGAGTCACGCTCCCCCACTGTCGGAGGAAAAAGGCAGATAGAGCCGTCCTTCTTCGTCTTTCGAGATTTTTTTCACCTAGTAGAAAAAAAAAAAAAATAAGTCTAGATACGCAAACAACTTATTCTTTAAAACAATTGAAATATAAAATAAAGAATAGGTTTTTGAAAAAATATTTTTCCGGTTTTCAAAAAAAAGCAAGCAGGCGAAAGCAACAAAATATCGTGAAAAGTAAATAATAAACAACAATGCCCAGGTCTTACCTTTTGTAATGTCATGGTTTATTCGTTACACGAAAAATGCTATGATGCTAAAAAATTATTGTGTTAAAATGTAAGTGTATTTGTAAAAAACTAGTTTATCAATTTATCAAGTATGTATATAACAAAATTATTTAAAACAACTTTACCATATATGGTCAACGTTTTAATAATTTTTCAGTTTCTTAGCTACATCATGCGCAGATATGTACATACATATACCCAATTTGAGTAATGAGTAATTTAGAAACACACTCCAATTTTCAGAATCCAGTTTACCAATACTTTGCACTTTACACAACATAATATATTTCGTAGTTTAAGTTTAACTTTTGTTGAGCGCGTTTGGTTCTTAGTATACTATAATTATAAAAACTTATTGTAAGTTTTGAAAATGGATTTTTATTTTTTTTTTATTTCATTTCAATTTTAGAAGGAAACATGTGTGACGAAGAAGTTGCTGCTCTGGTTGTTGACAACGGCTCTGGAATGTGCAAAGCTGGCTTTGCTGGAGATGATGCTCCTCGTGCAGTGTTTCCTTCAATAGTAGGTAGACCAAGACATCAAGGCGTGATGGTTGGTATGGGCCAAAAAGATTCATATGTGGGTGATGAGGCTCAAAGTAAAAGAGGTAATTCTTTTTTTTTTGCTATTAATCACTTACATATGTATATAAATATGTATATTTTCACCATAAAATTTATAGGTTGTTAAGATATTGTAGTAAGCATTGCACTATATCCTCGAGATACGACATTTCCATTTACTACCCGTTATGAATTTGGATCTTTTTTATTTAACTTGCGACATTATTCCTTATATGACATTAAAAATTTTTAATATTTTTTTCGGCAGATTTTTCTGATTTTTGAATAAAATCTATGTATACCGAATTTAGTTAAACGGCAACACATATTTCAATAATAAATTCTTAGTTGAAAATAGAAATCGCAGTGATATACATAGATAAGATTTTGTTTAAAAATTAGATATTTTGTTTTTGCAATTTTTTTGCTTTTTCGTTTTTTTTTATGCTTTTATTATTTTGAAAAAAAAAAAACACAATAGTTACAATAAAATATTGTTTGTCTAATTCAATTTTGTTTCCATATATTTTTTCCCTCAAACGACAATTGGAGTTACGGCATAAATTTCTGGAACCAGAAATGTATCTCGAGGACTTGTCGCGTTATAGTATACATACATACATGTACATATCACCGCTGGCGGAAATATAATTTTTCGTAATGTCAATGTACGTATACATACTGATATTTTACTTACATATACATATGTACATATGTAGATATGCATATGTAAGGATTTGTACGACAAGTTAAATTAAGAAGAAAAATCGACAATAATAAATATTAAATTGTGCTTTTCTACAATTGAATTTGTGTTTATTTTTTTTAAAAAGCATGGTATAATAAAAAATTATTATTTTAGGCATTCTTACGTTGAAGTACCCAATTGAGCATGGTATTGTAACTAATTGGGATGACATGGAAAAGATTTGGCATCATACATTTTACAATGAATTACGTGTTGCACCTGAAGAACACCCTGTTTTGCTTACAGAAGCTCCTTTAAATCCAAAAGCTAACAGAGAAAAAATGACACAAATAATGTTTGAAACATTCAACACTCCGGCAATGTATGTTGCAATTCAGGCTGTACTGTCATTATATGCATCCGGTCGTACAACTGGAATTGTGCTGGATTCTGGTGATGGCGTCTCCCATACAGTTCCTATCTATGAAGGATACGCTTTGCCACATGCTATTCTTCGTCTTGATTTAGCCGGTCGTGACCTTACAGATTATTTAATGAAAATATTAACCGAGCGTGGTTATTCTTTTACAACTACCGCAGAAAGAGAAATAGTAAGGGATATTAAAGAAAAGTTATGCTATGTTGCACTCGATTTCGAACAAGAAATGGCTACTGCAGCTTCTTCCAGTTCTTTAGAAAAAAGTTATGAACTACCTGATGGCCAGGTTATCACAATAGGCAATGAAAGATTCCGTTGCCCAGAGGCCCTATTCCAACCTTCATTCTTAGGTATGGAAGCCTGTGGAATTCACGAAACAACCTATAACTCAATTATGAAATGCGATGTGGATATTCGAAAAGATTTGTATGCCAATACAGTTTTATCAGGTGGTACAACAATGTATCCTGGAATTGCAGATAGAATGCAAAAAGAAATTACAGCTTTAGCACCTTCAACTATGAAAATTAAAATTATAGCTCCGCCAGAGCGCAAATACTCTGTTTGGATTGGTGGTTCAATTTTAGCTTCATTATCGACATTCCAGCAAATGTGGATTTCAAAGCAAGAATATGACGAATCCGGACCTTCAATAGTTCACAGAAAATGTTTCTAAAGCATATTTAATAGAATTTCATTCATAAAATTTCATTCCTTTGTTATATTTATACATTTTTTACATTAAAGCTCAATATTATTTTTTGTAGATAAAATCTCTTCATTATTCGTTAGATAATAATTATAAACTGATTCCAATGTAGGTAGTGGTTAGGTACAAATTCTAACATGGTTAAGCAGTAAGAACCCATATTCTGTTAGTTATTTGTGCTATAAAAGAAAGCTACCAGTCACATCAGGGCCCTTACTATGATCCGCAAAGGAAATTAATTTTTGGTATTATGAATGATTAGCGAATTCGCCTAAATTTTAGACAAGCTTGGGGAATAAAGCCAAAAATCAGAATAATTCATATGTAAGTGTTTTTTTTATTTGATATTATAGCATTTATAGTGAAATAATGGAAAAATCTAAACTATCTGTAAAATAAGTTCATAAAATTCTACAAATTATTGTACAAAAAATTGACCATTTAATATTAATTTAGAATTGACCATCAGTGCAGTGGCTATGGCACCGGTTCTTTAACCGAAAGGTTTCGGGTTGATGGTCAGATCACTGTAAAAATTATATTCAATATTATAGCTTTAATATACAATACTTTGAAATAACAAATTAAGTATATAAGTAATTTTCATATATGTATTCATAATTAATTCGATATTAAAAAAAAAACAGGAAAAATAAACAATAAATATCAATAAGTTTAAATATTTAATATAATGAAAAAAAACTACGGCAGGCTAGTCACCTACCTAGTTAAAACTCTATGTCGCAATGAAACTGGGACATGATGTCAAAATGTCATTCGATTCGTCTGGTCTATTCGGCTCGCCTAACCATTTGCTTTGTCGATCATGATAAGGGTACAAAATATCTTTAGAAAATTGTAGAGGGAAAAAAAGGATTTTGTGCCAAAAATGACAAATATAGAGGGAAAAAAAAAACGGTTTTGGGGCTGTAATAGTTAACGTTGTCACAAAAAAATAGAACGACCTGAAAAATATTTCGGCTACGGGAATATAAAGAAAAGCAAATAAAGTTTTAGAGCAATAAATAGTGATTTTTTGAATCACTCGCAACTTTCCACCGCATTTAAAAGAAATTTTGTATTTAAACATTGAAAAACATAAATTTTTTTAAATTTCTAAAATACTTTTGAATTTCAAAAAAGAATTTTAAAGTTTTACTTGAAAAACTTGGAATTCATTTCATTAGAAGTTTAAATTGCTCAAATTTGTTATCCTTTTTGTTCTGTAAAGTACAAAAACCTCAATTATCAATATAAAATTTTTAGCATAAAATTAATTAAACAGTTTTTAAAAGTACTAATTTCGTCGATTTTTCCACATTTTGTTCAAACATTTAACTTTAAATATTTTATGTGGATTTTTTTAAATCGAAATGGCTTTTTTTTTAGAAGTAACAAAATAAATTCATACTTATTATAAAGGAATCGCATAAACTTAGTCCGTTCTTGGTCGATAACTTGATACGAAAATTTACCAAAAATATTACAATTTTTTCATAAATATTTCCAAATATTTCATTAATTTCATAGGAATAGGTTATTCACATTCATTCAAGAAAGAAACTAAAGTATATCTACCACAGCTAACAGATATTTTTTGTAACGTCAAGATATTTACTCAAGAAGTAGTTCGACTCTGCGTTTAAATCACACTACCGCCATCACTCACTAATAATTGTATGCAAAAAATTCCCTTAACTAAAAGAGTTAAGCAGTATAGCTTCTTATTTTCATTTTTATGCACATAGGAAATTTTGGGAAAGACTAAAAATAGAGCGAACAAATTATAAATACTAAAGGAAGAAGCATCTTGAAAAAACAATGAAGCCTAATATTTTTTAGTTGTCTCTTTCTTTGCTTCGAGCATTGTCAAAGTCATAGCAGGAGCGTATTTCTTTTATACTTCTATTTGGTCTTTAATATAAAATATGTGTAACTTGCAAGAAGGATACGTTAAATTTTTTTTAAAGTAAAAACTAAAAAAATATTTTAAAATATTTCTTCATTTTAAATATCTGTAAAAAAACCTCTTCATTTCAATACTTCTAGGAAAATTTAAAAAAAAAAAGACTAAATAAATAGAAAATAAAAAAGACTTTTTTTTTTTTTTTTTTTATTTATAAGCTTTATTATTGCAACTGAGAACATAATTCACATCCAGCAATTCTTTCTATCGTGTGTTGGCGGTTGTGGGGTCGTCATCCACTGATGAGTCCCCAGATAATAGTACATTTTATCTCACTGATGCAAGCTCAAGTGGCCTGACCCTTCTTAATCGTCTCTCCACTTGGTTACCATCTGTCAGTTGCAGCATCTCTGGATTGTCGTGCTGTAGCAGTCTTGACTGGTGACTGGTTGCAGATTTTTTTATCTCTTCTTTGACAGTGCGTATGTTGAGATCACGGTGCAAGGTATCGTTGCTTACGTACCATGGTGCATTAACCATTATTCGAAGGACTTTGTTTTGAAAAGTCTGAATTATTTTAATATTGGTATCTTTGGTACACCCCCATAATTGTATACCATAAGTCCAAACAGGTTTAAGAACCTGGTTATACAGCAGAATTTTGTTGTGTAGACTGAGCTCAGAAAACCTTCCCAGCAGCCAATACATTTTTCTCAATTTTAGGTTCAACTCAATCTTCTTTTTCTTTACGTGCTCCTTCCATTTAAGTTTAGCATCTAGAGTCATGCCAAGGTACTTGGCCTCGTTAGCAAATGGAACCTCTGCGCCATTGAGTAGAATCCTGACTGGATCTGCTCTTCGGTTGGTAAAGTTAACGTGAACGGATTTGGATTCGTTAAGTTTAAACCTCCATTTTTTTGTCCAGGTGACCTCCATTTTTTTGTCCAAATCTTTAGATGAGGTACACCTCATCTAAAGATTTCTGGAGTTTACTTGAAGCCTGTTCGACAGTTGTACCAGTTGCCAATATAGCCGTGTCGTCTGGAAACGTAGCAAGAAACGTCTGGCCGCTTTGTGGGATATCGCTTGTGTATAGTAGGTAGAGGAGAGGACCAAGGACACTTCCTTGGGGGACACCAGCCCTCACACTTTTCAGGAACGAGTATTCGTCTCCAAACTTGACTCTGAATAGTCTGTCTTGTAGGTATGATTCCAAGATTGTGGGATACGGCTCAGGTAAGTTGCACTTTATCTTGAATACAAGTCCCCTATGCCAGACTCTGTCAAACGCCTGCGCCACGTCCAGGAAGGCAGCGGAACAGAACTGCTTGTTTTCAAGTGTGTCTTCAATAACGTTTGTTAGCCTATGTACCTGGTCGATGGTGGAGTGCTTAGCCCTAAACCCGAACTGGTGACTAGGGATAATATTTCGATCCTCAATAATTGGTTTTAGGCGATTGAGGAGAAGTTTTTCAAACAGCTTAGACAACACTGGTAGCAATGAAATTGGCCTGTAGGATTTCATTTCGTTGGCCGGTTTTCCAGGTTTGAGGATCATGATGATTTCTGCTACTTTCCATTGGGCGGGTACATGAGTTAGCCTTAACGAGGCATTGAACAATAGAAGTAGTTTTTTCATCGCTATTTGCGGCAATTCCTTCACTATTTGAGCAGTTATTAAATCATATCCAGGGGCCTTCTTGTTCTCTAGGTTTCTGATTTCTGTTCTTAACTCCGTAAGTTTTATTTTTTCAGTTCTAACAGCGTCGATGCTGATGTTCGCCATTGATGTATTCTCTTCAGCAGTCTGTCTGGATAGGGGGACAAATGTTTCCTCTAAGTAGTCTGCGAAAGCACCAGCTTTATCTGCGTCGCTAATGATCCAAGGTTCATTCTCGTTCCTTCTAATAGGGGGCACTTGATATTTTGGTCGTTTTATATTTTTAACTGCTTTCCACAAAGAATAATCGTGTTCCTTACCAGCTGATAATTGACTTAAGAGATCAGACATAGATTTATTCTTGATTTCAGTGAGTAATTTTTTTAATTTGTTGCTCAGTTGGTTTAGTCGGGTTTTATCCTGCGGGAAACGAGTAGCTTGCCATACTTTACGAGCCCTTCTCTTTTCTGAAACTAGTTCCCTTACTTCCAGAGGATAGATGAAGTTTCTTTCTGCGATTTTGATTTCAGAGGAGCTATTCCAAGCAGCTTCCTGAATACTTGAAATGAAAACGTCCAGCTCTTCCTCAAGTTGGTATTTGTTTTGAAGAGATACGTTCAACGCCGTGTTATTCTCAAGTATATTTCTGAAGACATTCCACTTAGTGGTTCTGTTGGTTAATCTGGGAATATCATTTTTAAGAATAACCGTTTCGGATACTGTCAGGATAACAGGAGAGTGGTCGGAGCTCAAATCGTAGCCCTCATCTACGTGGGTATAGTTATCAGAGACTCCTCTGCTAATAAAGAAATCCAGGAGGTCTGGGATCCTATTTCTATCGGTTGGCCAATATGTCGGTTTTCCCGTTGAGTGGAAACTTCAGTTGTTTTTTGCTGCTACTTCATACAGCGCCCTACCTTTGGAGTGGTGAGTCTGGATCCGCAGAAGGTGTTTTTGGCATTGAAGTCACCACCAATGATAAAGTTATCACCCAAGTAGTCGAGGACCATTTTGTAGTCATCCGCTCTTAGATTGAACCTTGGAGGGCAGTAGATGGAAGAGATCATCAGATTTTTGTTTTTCACTTTCATTTTGATTGAAGCGATTTGCATTGTCTGCTTTTCTACATGCTGGCATTCATGATGACTAATGTTGCTTCTCACAAAAATTGAAAAACCACCCCTGGCTTTATTATCAGGATGGACAGCGTTATAACATTTATATCCACTAATTTCTAGTTTCGTTTCTTTTGTGTAATGGGTTTCTGTAACCAGGCAAGCGTCAATTCTTTCGCGTTTTAGAAATAGTTCAAGCTCTTGGATATGTTGTGGGAGACCATCAGCATTCCACGTCATAATTCTCAAGGTTTGCATCATCTTTTACCAAGTCGTGAGTTTAATTTATTTTCTAAACGGTCTAACCTGTCATTAAGTTGTTTTTCAGCCATTTTCTGCTCGTCGAGCCTTTTTAAGATGAGTTCCAGGATTTTATCTGTTGGAGTTTTGGCTGCAACCTGAGCATATGTTTTTCTGGAATTCGTTTTGCCAACAGTTTTCCACTCTGTCTGTTTACCTGCCGGTGGCAGAGGCGACTTTGCATCTTTCTGTTGTACTTGGTCTCTTCGTATATCTTTTGGAGCACCTACAGTTTTTTGTCGTGAGGTCAGGGCAAGGTTTCTTTTGCGCTGGAGTTCTCTGGCAACTTCACATCCCCTATAGTTAGCAGGATGAGGACCGCCGCAGTTCGCACATTTTG